AACGAAAGAAGGAAACTCCGCTTTTCAGTCGTCTTAGGCACTCGTTTTTTGACAAACAATGACCTTTCAGAGGTCAAATTGCTGTCAAGAATATGAATTGGCTGCTTCGCAGCAATAAATAGCCTAATATTGATAAAATCTAAATGATACTATATTTTTCATGTTTGATTACTAAGATTATAACAATATTGATAATGATAATAATAAATGATATTGATTATAATATTTAATAATAATAATGATACTGATTATAAGGCCAAAAAATTTTTTTTTAAATTGTTGTGTTGCCCTTAAATGGAAAAAAATCGAGATCGATCCGGTCGGATTTTGTTCTTTGTTGTTTTTTTTTTTTTTTTTTTTTTTTTTTTTTTAGTAATACCTGAAATAGGATAGGCCTCAAACTGCAGTCCCTATGAAGAACCTGGGTCTATAAGGGCTCGTGTAGCTCTTAGCACCACAATAGAACGATGGCAAGCTTGACAAACAAAAAGTATTCGAAGTAATGACGGAATAAATACTAACCAAGTGTATATTGAAATAAATTACAAAAGTAAAGAAGAAAGATTTATTTGGCTTCGAAAGGTAAAATAATATTAATAAAGTGTATCATCCGATTCATACGATCACGCACGGGCAGGTCGAGTTGAAACCATAGTGTGGCTATAAAAAATGTTCAACCAAGCGCCCTCTATGTAATACAATCGCCGTAAACTTATATAATTAAATAAAAATATTTCGTTTAATGTTGGAAAATGTCTAGCTATGTACCGGTTTTAAAGTGATGGCTAGACATAAAGCCTGTTTTTATTTATTGTCCAATATACCATAAGGTAATGAATACGATTTTTTGTTCAAGCAACCAATAGTTGTACAGCAGTAATCAGGTTAGGCCTAGTTTATCGTGGACTTTCCATAGGCCTACGTCATCAATGAAAAGATTTTGTTTGTCTTATTAACTATACGATAGTACAATACATACTCCAAGTATCGAAATGCACGCCATCGTGTCGAAATTCAATATTTCGACATTAATTATGTCATCATAATCTAGAATTTCTTTGTCATAGTAAATTTACATTGTTCTCACCAATTAATTGCCAATCATCATACACTTATACTTCGACACAATATCAAATATGGCTTGCATATTATTAATCTGACGTTGTTTGTTTTCTGAGTCAAAGTTTACTTCTTTTAGTTTTACTTTCCGTTTGTCTTTACACCATGCCACAAATGATTCAAAATTAAAACCTTTTCACTTATTCAATTAAAAATGTTTTAAAATGATTATCATTCATTTTAAAACATTTTTTAATGTATATCATCAGCTTAAAATAGGCTTATCTGTAAATTGTACAGCGAAGTCCGAGGTGGGGGGAGAGGCGAAAGGGGGACCGAAAGTGGGCCGATCGAGATAACACCACCAGGGGAAATTTGTGGGAAGATAACCTATGAGGCTTTTTGGGCGATCATTTTTTCTTTTTCTTTCTTCCTTTTTTTTTTTACTTTCCAAAAGGAGGACGGGGACGGCCCGCCACTCTCCCCCCCCCCCTAAATCCGACCCTGCCCTGTAGACCTAATATCCTTCTGCGGATTGTGCAAGTGGATCGGAACGTTTCATATTCCACAGAACCTGGTTTCTATTTGCGATTCGCGGCTTTTCGTATTTTACTCAAATCTCACATGTGGGGAAAACCAACTGCTTAAAAAACAACGAGACGACGACCGATCGAATCTGCTTATACGGGGAAAGACGAAAACATGGCGACAGCGGACGATGAAAGATTCGACGGCATGTTGTTAGGCATGGCTCAGCAACATGATGGCGGAGTGCAGCAGGTAGTTCTAGCTTATATTTCAATCACAACTCTATTTTTTTCTGTTTAACCTAGGCGTAGGCATACTAGGTAGGCATCGCCATGGGCCTAGGCTAGCCTAGCCTAGGCCTATCTATAAAATTGATCTAGGCTAGGCCTAGCCGGAGCTAGGCCTACCTTATTTACCTAAGATCTAGTCATGGAGGTATTATAGTGAACATCTAGGCCACTACTACAAGAAAAATGCGGTTCTTCGGTCATGCCATCCGCCAAGGAGGCTTTGTTGGTTTGCAAAGAAATAATACAGGGGACGACCAACAACATCATGGACAAAGGTCATATAGGAGGCTAATGAGAATGGACTGGACAAAGATTGGCAGCAGCATCATCATTTTCTGGTGATCGAGAGTGTTGTCGTGCAATACTGATGGCCACCACAGCGCGATTTGCATCATCGGACTAAAGAGAGACAGAGCTGAGAGTCCTGATTGATTTGAGGACCACCAGTGATCAGTGCTAATGCACTTTCGCACCTAACTTTTAATTCTTAATTTTTTTACCTCATTTTTTTTTTTTCACAGTTCCAACACATAATTATCAAACTCTCAAAGTACATTTTTCAACAAATAAATACAGCGAGTGCTCAAATAAGTACAGCGAGTGCTCGCCAGCACAACAAGCTGTTGCCATTTTGCAATCAGTAAGAAATTGCCATAATGTCTGAGTTTACAGTGCAAAATAAATAAGCGTTTATGAAAACTATACAAATAGGGCCTAGGGCTATTTAATGGCATAATCCAGTGGAACAACTACCACCAAATCTAATACTAAATGGTGGATCAATGAATCTCAATTACGACAAGAAAGTTAAACAAAAAGATGGTACTGCATGATGCCACATTTTGTTGTCGGATGTTTCATGTGAAAATTCTGATTCAAATTATAAGACTGCCCTTTTTAATTGTTTCAAAATTTAAGCATTCAAATAAATAAAAATTTAAAATGCAGCCAAAATGAGGCTGAAACAATTTGTCATAAAAGTTTTGTCTGCTTTGTTTTCGATTTTTTTGTCTTGTCTATGTGCTTGTGTTGGATCTGTGTTTTGTCTCCTTTTGTATGTCTGTTTATTTATTTTTTTATTTTTATTTATGTATTTTTTTATTTATTTTTTTTAATTTTAATTTTTTTAATTTTTTATTCTTTTATTTTATTTAATTTATTTTTTTTATTTATTTATTTTTTTTCGCAACTCTTAGCTTAAGATGTCATTTGCAATGTTTTTATAAAAAATTTTACCTTTTCCGATTTTCTAATGTAATTTTATCAATCATTTACTTGTTTTGCATTTGTTTGTTTATTTTCTTATCTGGTTTTTTTTATCTGTATTTTTTTGAACTTGCAATTTTTAGCTTAAGATGTAATTTTGTGCAATTTTCTTGTAAATTTCTCTATTCCATTTCATACTGTAATTTTATTAATCAATTTGTAATTTTGATGTAATTTCTCGCAATATATTTGTAAATTTCTCTTTTCCTTTTTATACTGTAATGTTATTTATCAATTTATCTTTCGCTTGTTTGTATTTTTCTATGTATTTATATGTATTATAAGACATCCTGTAACTGGCTTCCGCTGTTGGATGATTTTCGAAATAAAAAAATCAATAAATAAATAAAAAAATGCGAAAAAACAATAATAAAATAATAATAATAATTGGCCTAAGAATAATAACAACGTACAAATTAAATAATAAAAGGATTGGGGGAGACAATATAAAAGCAGTAAACATTCAAATAAATAAAGCTTTAAATACAGACAAAATAAGGCACCTAAACAATTGATGTCATGGATGTGTAAAAAATTTAAAAACGTGATTAAACATTACAAGCGGGAAGAAGAGCCCATGGCAATATTCGATTTTCCTACAGATGATCGGCCTGATTTCAAGACTTCAAGATTCAGAAAGTCATAAACTGTGACCTGAGTCTGGCGACGCTTGCTGCTTTTGGCATTGATTTTGATCCTTTGCCGTCTTGGTCTATACCTATTGCCGTTTTGGTACTTGTCATTGCCGTTTTGGTACTTATCAATGCCGTTTTCGGTTTATTGCCATTTTGACCTGCTACTTAAAATTTCATTTCATGTAATTGATTTGTAAACTTGGTAACAATTATAATGGCAAAAGCTTGATAAAAATGCAGGCATATCTATAAATGTGTGTAATAATTGCAATGTGTATCTTGATAACTTCTAAAACTGATAGAAATAAAATAATCAGAAAGAAATACACACTTTACATAGAACAAAATAGTTAAAATGCAGTCTACCCATTAGCTAATTATGTGTTAACTACAATCATTTTAATATTATAAAACAATGGCTGAAACAACCCAACACCACCTTGGCCTGGATATGCTGTATATCATGTTGTTGTAGTCAATGGGAATTATGCAGCAAAAACTAGGCCTAAACAAACCCTCCTTCTGCTATTCAGTTAACCTTAAATTTTTATGTTTTCTTTCAGCTCATTGATACATTTTTTTCTTTCTTGAGAAGAAAAACAGATTTTTTCACAGGTGCTGAGAAGGGCAGAGCTCAACAGGTAAGACAGTGATAAGTTGTTGTCTTTTAACTTGTGCTCATTTTAACCTTGAAATGAAAATTGTGTTTAAATAGGGGTGGTACTATTTGATGTCCCAGTATTTGTATTTTTTAAATATTTTGTATGTATTTTATTGTACAGTATTTTCTATGCAACCGGAACAAAATTTTGTATGTATCATGTTATGCATTACAACTATAAAATTAATATAGAGTCTCTGTGTTTGTATCTTGTATGGTTTATAAACTGGGTCTCAGAATTTTAGTGAGTGGGGGTTCTGTTTACAGTAATTGGATTTAGTATATGTTTAACATTATTTTGAATATTTAATGAATTACATTGTTTATGATATTACAGCTTGTGATGGATAATTTTAAGAAGCATCAACAGAAAGCATTGGAAGTACAAAAGAAAAAACAAGAAGAGAGTGAAAGAGCAAAAAAAGCAAAAGAGGAGAAAAAGCGCAAGGAAGCTGAGAAAATGATGTCCGAGTCTGATACGGCACAGATTAAAGAATTAACAGATGAAGAGGCAGAACAACTACAGAAGGAACTTGATAGTAAAGTGAGTGCTATGACTAAATCACAGTTCAATATGATTGGCACAGGTAACAGTGTCAGTTAATCAGATTATCAAGAGTATACTTTTTATCAAGATTTTCCTGTTTCTTTTTATAGAAAATGAAAAAAGAAGATGCAAATTCACAACCACCTACTGTGAAGAAAGAAGAAAAGAAAGCAGACAAAAAAGATGGGGTAAAATACTTTCTACACAGTTGCCAACAAGTCTAGAGCCTATATAGTAATCACTTGGTGGCAATACTGTTGTATTAACCTATTCAGTAGGAATTTAGAGATAAAGTATACAGTACCATAAACTCTCAAATAAGCGAAAATATTTGGAGGCTGCAGTGCAGCGCTTATTCAAGAGCGGCGCTTATAAAAAATATTGGTGTGGCGCTTTCCGTGCCCGTTCCCTAGCTACCTATTATCACGTATTCCTGTAATTTGCTACTATCATCCTAAATAAACCTTTATAAAGAAATGCTTGTGTCTTCATTGTCTTATTTCATTGATTTTAACACTGTGTACATTGTATTTAAAACAATGTTTCTCAAAGTGTTTCATTACATACAGTGTAATATATACTCTCGATTGAGCGCAGTGGTGCTTATTCAAGAGCGGTGCTTAATGAGAAAATACTGTTTGGTGCGGTGCTTATTCAAGCATTTATGGTATAATGTTTACGTATCACATACTATTTATCACATGCAATAGTTATCCTACTTTTAATAGAGCAGTATAGCTCAGTCGGCTAAACTGGTGGGATACACTGTGAAAACTGAACTGAGGAGTTTCATTATTAACCTTTGGTGCCTGATTCAAATTCATCTGTCTTCTTGTGGTTCAGCTGGAGGGCTGAAATTCAAGTATAAAAAAATAACACGGTCTGTGAGATGTTTGTCATCTGTGCAATATTGCCTTGTGCACATAAAAAAAAAACCATACACTCTGAAAAGATGAAAGGGGATTGTCTCCTGGTTACTGCTCAATTACCACGAGAATAACCCAACTGGAAATAAGTCTTCAGACTTATCATTAGTATTCACTCTGAATAAATCCAATCTAATTTATGTTCTTTATAAATTGTTTAGTCAGACGAGGAAGAAGAGGATGAAGATGACAAGGGCAAGCTGAAGCCTAATGCAGGAAATGGATGCGACTTGGAAAACTATAGCTGGACACAAACACTTCAGGAACTAGATGTAAGTTGATCGTCATAAACATAGATTTAAAAAACTGGTTCTTGTAATCTTGAAAGCTCTGATGAGGGCAGTATAATAGAGGCAGTAGATCTAAAAAAGATCTATTAATCAATAAGCAGAGTGTTTCTAGAGTACCTCATCAGAGGTAAAGAGCAAAATCTTGATTATTTATTAAAACAGTTTAACGACAAAATAAACAAACATTAATGAAATAATGAAAATATTTGTTGATTGAGGTATATACTGAAATACATAGTTTTATAAGTGAAAGAAAAGAATTTGTACCACTCAGTATAATTAAACAACTACTTGCGTATTATTCTAGGTTCGAATTCCTTCACCAATACCTCGAATCAAATCACGCGACGTGATTGTAGAATTTACAAAACGCACGCTGAAAGTTGGGCTCAAGGGACACCCGCCCATCATTGATGGAGAGCTTTGCAAAGAAATTAAAATTGAAGAGTCGTTTTGGACTTTGCAGGATAATAAAATTATAGCTCTCAATATGGAAAAGGTAAGAAAAGTCGTTTTTAGGAAAAGGTAAGAAAAGTCGTTTTTAGGTTGCTCATCTATGATTGGCAGTGATGTAACTCTTTTGCTCTTTAATATACAGTTAAACTTGCCTAAGTCAAAATAATTTTACATGGGAAATTGTTGTGTATTTCATTATTTAACAATCTGTTCGACTTTGCTTAAGTCGAAATAATTTTACATGGGAAATTGTTGTGTATTTCATTATTTAACAATCTGTAAGTTGAACAATATTTCAATGGCATTTTGGGTTCAACTGTAAAAACAACTATAAAATTGTATTGTTGATAGTAATAATCTTTATTTGACAGCAAATGTGTAACAAATTACATTAAAACCAATCTTGAATTTTTTTCTTTTGTAAGGTAAATCAAATGGAATGGTGGAATCGATTAATGGCAACTGACCCAGAAATAAATACAAAGAAAGTCCAGCCAGAGAACTCAAAGGTATGGTAATAAAAACAATTTATTGTTATTCAGTGAAAAAGAAAAATGGATAATAATAATAATTTCAAAAATATTAACCTGATAGTATGAGAAATAATGTACAAGAAAAGATTAGGATTACTTTATGTGCATACAGCTGATTATTTTCAGCCCTTTTTAATATTTCTTTCCTATATACATGTTTTGTTACAGTAGATAAATTTATATAAATGGCAAACAATAATTTATTATTTTATTGATTTCAATATCAGTTGAGTGATTTGGATGGAGAGACGAGGGGAATGGTGGAGAAGATGATGTATGACCAACGTCAGAAGCAAATGGGGTTACCAACCTCGGATGATCAGAAGAAACAAGAACTGTTGAATAAGTAAGTGAACTGCTGCAACTGTGAACCCGTGATGTTAAACTTCACCAATATGCTGCTGCATGAGATGCTATATTCAGTTATAATCATTTAAAAAAGTAAAGCTTGAAGTTTGTGCCGTCATTAGTGCCACTGAACATTGCATCAGCCGTAGATATTGGTGCTTTACAGATTGATTGATTGATTGACATGCTTGAGTGAGAGTTGCATTATTAGGGCTAATTACAGTTGTATTAAATTTTAAAAATGCTTCACAAAATAGTACAGTAATAATTTTTTCTTCCGTTTCAGGTTTATGGCACAACACCCGGAGATGGACTTCTCCAAGGCTCAGATTAACTGAAAACTCTGCTTTAAAATGGTGGTATCAACCTTGTCTAGTTGAATGCTGTTTTAATGTTTTAATCTATCACAATTAATTTTTTATGATTGGCAATTGCAAATACAAGAGATCATCATTAGCCATTTGAAATATGTTTGATGAGTAAAACTAAATATATAATATGTAAACACACCACAGAATAATGTAAAAGAGCACCTTGAGTTAAGACTATAAATATCTTGAAGATGTGACATTTGAATTTGGAGTTAAAATGTACAATAATATTAGGTATATGAAACTTGGATCATGTAGGTATAGTTCTATGGTCTATTGTTGAATAGACGTACTTCAACCACTTCTTAAAATAACAATGAAACTCAAGTGTGCTTCCTGCAATCATAGCTGTTTTCATTCTTAATTATCACAGTTTAAGTTCCTTACAAATGGAGAAAATGTTTATACAGGGCATGAATGTTTAAATGTGAAGATACCACACCACTTTGAAAAAAGTACTGTACATGAAACTGCCAACAGTATAAAGAATAAGTAAATAATGTATACTTCTGACAAGAAATGATTGTTGTATCAAATACAGTTTTATTGTCACAAGAAAAATAATTTGCTTAATTTTTTTAGTTTCTGCAAAAATAAATGATATTTTAAACTCTTGTATCAACTAGACTTGTATAGTACAAACCAATGACATGTTGTTTTTGTTAAGTAAAACGTATTCAATGTCAGGTACTAAATAAACATTGTTTATAACTAATTAATCTGGCAGCCAAGACGTATTGTCCAACAAAATTTGTTTGTCCACCATGTCTTCATCATCAGCTAATTGGTCCTGATCAACATTCCATCCAATCAGCAACCACCCCACGTAAGTCGTGCAACATGGTCCGTCTTTCTTCGAGTATGTTTGATAAATCCTAAGAATTGGAGCTCGGACACAGCACGAATAAACCGGGCACTGCTCAGAGTTTAGGATCATAGCTTAAAATTTTGGCTGAAAAAGGCAAATAGTAAAAATGAATCTTGTCCCAATAGGTCAAATGAGAGCCATGACCGAAGAGTTGTGTGAAATTGACCGTATGCATTCTATGGATCCCTTACTCGCTACATGATTACAGCAGCTAAGTACTGTTCTGTAAAAATACAGTGGCGTAACTAGGGGATCCCCATCCCCCCCAAACTTGTGCCCCCTATCAAGAATTCTGTGTCAATTGTGTTTCTATGAGGCTTGGAGAGTGGACAGCTGTTCAGAATTGAACCTGTGACCTTAGGATTGGAAGTCGGGCATGCTACAAAGCAGCTCCAAAGTCATTGGCATTTGTATTGTCATCATTTAAAGGATACTGCAGTACATCATCTTTGTTTTCCTTCTCATCGTCATTCTCACAATTGCCTTCTACTACTGTAATGAATGCCTTGAAAGAAACAATAAACGTAATACTAAAAATAGTAGTAGTACATAAAGTGGGATGCTTGCTGGTTTCTACTGCAGGTGTGCATAGTAAATATCAACTTTAAGTATAGGAAGGGCGCTTAGGCCCAATAATGTTGGCCACGTCTGACTGACCAAAATTTTACAAAATTCAGGGTCGGCATCTCAGGTGTTTTTTTTTTTTTTTTATTACAAGGAACAATATTTTTTTTGGGCCGAAGGGCCAAACCTGTTTTGGTCCATAGTACGCGATTATATTATTTGTGTATTTTCTACTTTTTAAGCGTAAAAAAGTTCCTACCGACCTACCTATTGTTTGTATTTTCCCAAAATGTGGCCAACACAGGGCAATTATTGGTAAGCCTAGCAATTTATTCTAATGCAATGTTTATTCTAATGGGATGGTTTTTAAAATGAGGCACTTATTCACACAGGTTTGGTCAATCTGAAATATTCGCCATAGAATAATAAACTAAACTACTAACTAAATCAACACATTGAGGAAAATATTGATGAATATGACATGATTACCTGCAGCCAGTCATAAAGGTTGATGAAACGACTGCACTCTAGGTGGAGTTTGTATATGATGCAGAGGTCTGGAAAGGACTCCACCATCCTCCCTGGTTCTGTCTTGCAGCACTTACACTTCACATAATGAAAAAAAATGATATATAAACAAATTTGTAGTAAAACTAAATACAATACATAGTTGCATTGTACAAGTCTTACAGAATAAAAACAATGCTATAGTAAATGTAAAATACACATTTGTCTAATAGCAACTATATACAGTACACCAATTTCAATTGCAACAACAAATCTATGATTCTCGAAACAAAATCTTAGATATGTTGTAGACATGCTCTTTATATGCATCTCATTGGTTAAAGGTTTGATACTATTATTAACTTTGCATAAGCATCACAAATTAACTATGCCCTAAAGCAATTTTTTTTAAACAATTTTCATCCGATCAGCTTTACTAGAGTATAAGATTTAAGAGGTAATGGGGTAGATACCTGAAGATAGTAATGAGGGTTGCTGAGAGCAGTCTGAAGAGATGCTCTCGGAGAAGCGTTAATGTGATGTCTGACCTCTGACACAGATGTGCAGTAGAACACTTCAAACAAGGGCATGCTTTGTGGACATTTTAAATAGTCCCTGGAAAAACACAAAAATGATTATGAATGTTTTACAAAGTGGTTCGAGTAGAACAAATCTTTTCGGTTAGGGACTATAAACTACCCAGTACATCATTCAAGATGAGTAGGGATATGTCAGTGTACTGGCACAGATAGCCCCTGTGGTGGACAACGAGAGGTGCTGGTACCAGTATACTGGGTAGGATAGACAGAAAGGAACTCTTATGAGGGAAAAAATCACCGAACAAGCAACTATTCCACACATCAAGCACCATGAGCATCTTGTTTGATAGATGCGTTTGCTATACAAATCTACACTATTATTAAAATTATAATTACGTGATTAAATAGACAATAATTAACAAGGGCGTTAAATGTAGTAGAGATTATCAATTATTTTGGTCAACAAAACATCAATAAGCTTACATGAACATTTGTTTTAAGAATGCCATGCAGTCATCCCTTAGTTCTTCATACTTTGTTAGCTTTCTCGATTTCTTTGCCGACTCCATCAGCTGCTTTTGAAGACTTTTCAAAGTGGTCTTTTCTTTTTTTCCTGCCTCCTTCTTTACCTCTGGTTCTGGTTCAGTACTTTTTTCATCCTCTTCCACAAATTCACTACATCTATCTGTAAAACGGATGCGATTGAAACTTCAGACCACTAAGTTATTCCCTAATCTAACCAAACATAGCCTCGACCACTTACCTCCTAACTGCTCTAATCTTGTCTGAAAATCCTTGAGTTTGTCAGCTTCAGCCTGCAGCTTCTGGCAGCTTCTTAACTTGACCTCGCATTGACCTAGCAGGGAGAACAACTCGTCACGTGCAAACATTCTGAACAAAGAGATAAATATCATTTTTCATTGCTTTTGCTTATTTACACTATGTACTCTATATATTAGGCTTTCTTTTGCTTTAATAATAATGCTAAGTTTTTGGCTTTATCTTGTAAGTCTACATCTTGTGAGTCTATTTTGGCCTTAGAACATGCTCATTATCCTGGAGAGTCATTGGCTAGTGCTTACCTGGTGAGGTTACTAGCATGCTGGTATTCTTCAGTATTTACAATGGAATTTTCCAGGCACATGGCATATAGCTCACGTAGTTGTTTACCTAATGGATACCGAGGTAGATTGCCGGTCATGATGTGAAGACATTGCATTACTGGCACAAACGTCATGTCATAGGTAAACATTTTATTTGCTATTTCGCTGATAACAACCTAGGAATAAAAAATATATACATCAAAGATCTTGTAGGAATAAAAAATATACCGTACACATCAAAGATTTGTAATAAAATGATAACACACTCGGGTTTTACGCGTAACAACACTGAAGCGTTACATTACAGTGTACCCTCTCGCAAAAAGTAACAAATGTTGGCATACCTATATAATTTTTACAAAATAAAACATGCATGTATAGGAGAATTGTGTGGAACACTCTCTGTCTATGGCTCTGTGGCTGCCTATCCTATTCCACATTAAAAATACCAGGAAGTACTTGTTTTTGCAAGAGGGCATATAAACTAAGGTCTACAGACTCTGTCTCTTATACACATCTAGATGTGTATAAGAGACAGATATATATAATACAAATTAACATTGATAATATGATGTATATGTTAAGTGTTTTAAATTATTACCTTTGTCATTGGATCAAACACATGGAAAACATACTTAGCTACATAGGGCAATATTTCATAACATTCTAACTAAAGCTAGTAATCAGGGCATTAATTATTTAAACCTACTTATATGCTTTGAGTAGTGAACAAGTTTTATAAAAAAAAAAGTTTTATAATGATCAAAATATAAATAATCACAACTCACTTTTGCATCTGTTAAACTTTTCTTAATAAGCACTTGTTTTTCTTTTTCAAGTTGTGGAATGTATCTGCAAATAAATTTTACCATAATTTTTGATGTTTTGATTGTATATGACTGGTATTCATTGGAACAATATTGAGGATAACAAGCCTTAAAACTTTGATAAATGATAACCATCATTAAAACTTAAGTATAGTCAAATCTTCTAATAAAATCTTTGCTGTGTTCCTCCCGAAATTACATCATCATCATAGCATTGCGTTCGCCATAGAATTGTGTCGGCTGCCAAACGCCGGGGGAAACGAGTGCCGACTTTAGAGTTTCCACATTAGGATTGCTGATTTGTCAACATCTGTTTCTATTAACAATTCAGGTATGCTTTACTGCTAACCTTGTATCTACATTACATCTCTGTCAACTCAGGATAATGCTAGGAAGTGAATGTTCTGTTGGTTTTAATCAACAGTAGACGTGTGCATAAATGGAAATGGCGATTGTTATAAAGATATTATTATATTACATATTATTCGCATATATCCTCATACACCATGCAGAAATCAAGATCATTTAATACCTTTTAACCGACGGAAGTTGCAAAATCATATCAACGTCATTCTTATTCAACTTCTGGATCCGGGAGGCTAAATCTTGCTGTTTACAACATAACACACTTGCTGGTTGGCTGAAGAAATGCTCCATCATTGCAAACTATATATTTTAATAATAAAATGTTGTATCTTAATGTAATATGCTATAGAAAATGATTGATGAGTAAGATTATCTTTTTACATATAATCTTTACGTAGAGTCTAAAGCTTTTATGAATGTTGATTCTAGCACTAAAGGTGTATAATTATGTAAATATCCTAACAAAGAAAGAATATAAAATTTCATTAGTAGTATACAAAACATTTGAGCTATTTAAATATGCCATTATTATAAAAGATTACCCACTTTACAATATTTGTTTTTAAGTTTTATTTGATTCTAACATACACATAGCATGGTACATAGCTTGTAATTTATTTATCAACATTACAGATGATAATTAAAGTGTATTAAGAATTTTTGTATTAAGATTTATTCTTTTTACTATTTATCATATGTATATCTATGATTCTACAGTATAAGGTAAAATTTATGATTCTACATTATAAGGTACACATATCTCAGAATTTTTATTTTGACAATAAAGTTGACTTATATTGTAGCTCAGGCAATTTCCTTACCTGTAATCCTTTAATGAAGCTAGTTGTTGAGAAATCATGGAAGAGAAAAAGATCCAACAGGAGCTGGAATACTTTGTGTCCAAGACGGAATGGATGGTCCGAGCTCAACAACGTCTATGTTGACAAAACAACAAAAAGAATGTCGGTCGGCCTTATATTTGTTTTTATTCATTTTTTAGCTAAGAATTATTAGTATTGATTAACATTATAATTTCAAAATCAAAACTAAATAAATTTAATTTATCAATCAATTTCTCAAACAACCAAAATGATACAGGAATATTTGAATAAATACATCAACAAAAACAATACAATAACAATTCATCAAGCAATTAATAAGTGCATTCATCTTACAATCAATCGATAAATCAATATATCAATCAAACATCAATTCATCTACTAATCAATTCAATACATATATTCATCAATCAATAAGTTAATTAATCAATCAATCAATCAATTCACCATAAATAAATTACTTAATCAATATATCATTCAATAATTTAAAAGTGACCTAACCTTTTGAATAACCTCAGATAAATACTCTGTAGAGGGTTTGGATTGAAACTTGTCGATGCTTAGCAACGATGAAATGTGTTGAGGTAGGAGACGGTGAACAACGGTCACAGATGTAGCAATACCAAAAAGTAATACTACAGGAAGATGTTTGATATTTTCACTGAAAAGAAAAACAATGACACACATGTTTTTGGAGTCATTGAAGTTTTTGTATTCTCTACTTCTGCCTTTTGTTGCCTATTCAACTGACCTCTAGTTTTAACATTAAAATTTATATTAATATTTTTACCATTATTATGAGTATAATTTTGATATTAATTATTGTATGTACCTGCACATAGTAATAAAATCTTGTAGAACTGTTGAAGTAAATCCTTCTAGGTCTTCAATTATTACCACAACAGGGGGGAATTGTGGGAAACACACATTGTGACCTCTTGATGACCTTTTCCTGGGTGACTTGGGCTGTTTTTTAACTGGTGAGCTCTAAAAATAACAGAAAATAACATACAGTATACATAAGTAATCTCTCTTTATAGTGAGAGCATTTGTTGAGTTCATGTTTTTTCCATCAAGTAATAAGCCATCATCTCTACCAGCGTATGTCCATTTACAAAGTTTTGTTAATGTCTTGACCTTTGGCATGCATATGCAGGAATGAAAGTATGAAATGGCTTATTTTTGGAGTGTATTCTCACCAATGTGCAAGCCCCAGAGACATACCATAGTTGAATGATGATACCAGGAGCACAGTACTGACATAGTGCAGGGAACTTTCCTCATCTCAATCTCTTCTGAATCATCTGACTGTGAATAAAACAAAAATGTTCCTAATTCTAATCAGGATTGAAAAGGAGAGTAGAATAGCAAGTTTGAGGTTTCAAGTTTCAAGTTTAGTTTCAAGTTTTATTTATTTCATTTCTCATTGCAGTAACTTAAAAGAAAACTGAATTGCGAGAATGTTACAATACATTAAAAATATTAAGATTACAAATTCAGCAACAGGTTATTAAAATGCAAATAAGACTCAGATTTCCGCCCCCTCACCCCTCCTCCTCACACTTGGTGCTACTACTGGAGCCGGCTAGGGGGCATGGCAAGTTATCTAAATGGTGGCTGTTATGAGAAATTGCCAGCATGTACACTTACCATGTTATCGGTTTGCATTAGCTGCGAGACTAGCTTAGTTAGTAAAGCTTTAATGGTGTGGCAGTCCTTGGAGGATAGCTGAGCAATATATGGTGTGATGCCATCTTTTAATTGGCTGATCAAGTTCATAAATATTGTAGTGTGATCTGGCATGTTGACACCTAAATGCAGAAGAGTACAAGACCCATCAATTAATTCAATATACATAATAAGCCACATGGCCCCTATAACAGTCATGTGCCTGTATATGGTCAGGATGCGATGTCATCATGAGTTCTGTTCCAGCAAGCTCTCAATTATGGGAGCTTCAAAATGCTGGAGAACGGAGCGGTGAAAAGGGTTCCTCTGCGTTTATTTTCTTTTTTGGTTACAGTTAGGATATTTTATGGCGTCATTCCTTTTTTTTCAAGTTCTTTTAAGTGGAAAGCGCTTAGAAACATTGTTTTGCATTAAGCGCTCCATAAGACTAACATTATTATTCTTATATTTAGGCATGTCACATGTTTTTGTCAAATAAAATTTGATAGTCTGGACAGGGCTGAATAATTGCCAACAGCAGAACAAAAACATCTAAAACAAAACAAAACAAACAAAAACATCAATGTACTACATTCAAGTAGCAATCCCCTTCACTAAAGTCAGGCTGACAATCGATTCCAAGAAGATCGCAACCACCATGTCTGACAGCTTTACCCACCATCAAACACCCCCCCCCCCCCCCACTTTCAGGGCAACACCACTTGTTCAATAATAATAATAATAATAATAATAATAATAATAATAATAATAATAATAATAATAATAATAATAATAATAATAATAATAATAATAATAATTAATTAATAATAATAATATTATTATTATTTTATATATATATATATATATATATATAAAATAATAATAATTATTATTATTATAAAAATAATAAATATATACATATATATTTCCAACATCAGATGTCTTGTTTTTTTAAAATACATCAATAGCATTATATATTAATAACAATTAATATATTCATAATCCTTTTCAATTGAATGATTTCATATTATTAAACAATCATCATTATCATTAATAATTTTTAATCCTAAGTTATGAAACAGTCTGTTAATAAACATTTAAACCTTTTGAAATACAGGTAATTACTCATTTAAATTTATTATTAAACTCAGGACAATTATTTAGTAGTTAAAATTTTGCATGACAATTGCATCAAGCAATGCTTTTACTAGGTTTCGCCACTTTTGTTATTTACTGTATGCTAATATTTTATTACAGAAGATTTTTTTAACTTGAAGTCAATTACATACCTGGTCTTAGCTGTTTCTTCTTTTTACTTTTAAAAGCAAAACATCCCTATTTCAAGTAAAGTAAATAAAAAAGAAAATAAATTCAAGTAATTACACTTGTCCCAAACTGTAAAAATAAGCCTCACCATCCCCGCCCTGTGTTAAGGCATAGGGCTAATAGCTTGCATTAGTACTCTAGCCTAGGCCAGCTGAGTGTAGGCCTTGGCTTAACAACTGGCCTACCCGACTGAGCTAGGCGGCTAGCCAACAACCAAGACAAAGTCAAAGCCCCCCTAGCCTAAGCCTAGCTAGCTAATAGTAGTAGCGCCTGGCCTAGACTAAGCTCATAGCCTAGAACTTATGAACTAAATATCAGCAACTGCAAGTATAATATCAGTACTTTACTTTGGAAAAGGAAGTAGTACTTGTTTCTATTTCTAAAGCCATTTTAAATAATAATAATAATAATAACGCCGATGCGAAAAAAACACATGTGAAATATTTTTATCGTGCCGAGCCGCCGGACATCTCTTTGATATCATTATTGGAAGAGACTACTATTCGCACGGTAGCGGTACCACGGTCTATATTGTCAAGTAAAAAGATATGATCTACTTATTCACACGGTAGCGTGCGAACAGCCACTTCGGAGTATTATTACTTTCTACGAACATCAGTCCATATCATAATAATAGTATGCTTAATAGGTTTATTAGATCACATTATACTTTAAGCATTTAATCAGGTATTTTAAAATATATTATAAAAGAAATGAATAATATTCTGATTTTTGTTACATTATTATTAAAAAACAATTACCAAGAATGTATTCAGGGTCAAATCACTGTTTGACACCCGATTCGTTGAAAGTTTATTCCTCATTACACAATATGTTGTAACGAAATGAATTGAAGTTTATTTTCTAAGTTTTGTGTAATCATTTTCAGTATATACGAAGTGATACGGCGTCGGTGTTGTACGTAATGTATTTCCTTTGTCGATTCCTATTCAAACGTGTATTGGTAGTAGTAGTAGTAGTATATCACCGCTTTTTGGGCTAGCTAGCCCAGGACTAGCCCTAGTAGTAGGGGAGGCCTAGGCTAGGCCTGCCTAGGCCAGGACTTGCCTACCTTCCAATATTTAGCCTGAGCTAAGTTGGGCTAGGCCTATTGTAGGCTAGAGGTTTAGGCTAGTACTGTAGGTAGTAAAGTACAAATACTTTATTTTACAGTCAATACATTACAATATTGTCACTACATTTTTTGAGGGACAATAAGTGTTGATAATAATATAAAGTATTTTGTATTTAAACTTGTTTTTAAATATTGATTAATTAATGAGATATTCTCAGGTTTTTTTTATTTGTTTTTTATATTTCTGTATATATTACTATCCTTGACTCTAAATGTATAATTGACTTACAATAATTTTCTTTTCATTTTAATTCATTTTAAACCCTTTTAAGTTGTACATAAAAACTGCTGTATATAGGCAAATTAATTTATGCTATAATTTATTATTTTTTATTTATTTTAACATTTAATTTCTTTTTATTTAAAGCCCCATTCCCAGTAAAATTTCACTAAAAAATTTTTTTTTTTGGAAAAAAGGCATATGCATTACTCTAATTATTATATACCATAGGAAAATATTGGCATTAATTTTAGTTTTATGCAAAAGAATAAAAGAAAATGAGAAATACAGACTATTTCTCTTAGGAGATTATCATTTTCTTGACAAATTCTTCGTTACTAGGCAAGTTCAGAAGTTGCAGATCGAATCCCCTGGAATGCTCTCGCTTTTATGTATACTTTATACAGTCAATAAAGTGGCCCTCTCTAATGAGATTACTTTTTGTACTTCATATCTCGCCCAGCACTGTGGTCGATCAAGTAGGCCTGAGATATGTTGGTCAGAATCATTTTCTTGTCAAATTTGAAATAATTCCTATGAAATATTATATTTCACAAGTCTCAATACCAGCAATGGAAAATATCATGTCGGCTGTTTTTATGTGTGATAACAGAACCTAAATCGAGGTAAGGCTAGGCCTAGAATAGCAGTGTTTGATAGGCTAATGTTTCCAGTGCCTACTATATTTCTTCGTAGACCTATCGCAAAATCAAACATAAAAAATTCATCCGCATTTATTTTTTGTGTGGAATACAAAAAAAAAAAATCAAATTTCAGTCTTATTTTACATTTTTTTCATGTTAAGGAATGTCTAAATTCAGTTAAACTAGCAATTTTGTATTATATTTATAAATCTTTATAACATATATAAAAATCAGATTTTTCATAACAACTGAAATTTTGCTGGGAATGGGGCTTTAATTTCTTGGAAATAGATAATTGATATTTTATTATTTATACAGTATTTTCTGTAATTTCCTAAGACTGAGTTGATGGGCTTTCGAGCTAAAGTGTCACTATCATCAATCCTGGCCATTGTTATTTCTGTTTGTGTAAATTGTATTGTACACTTTTTTGGCTGAATAAGGAATGAATGAATGAATGAGTAGTGGCGGCATACAGTAGCTTACAGTAGGCCTATTGCTTCTACGAACACGACAAGACTCGCATCTCAGTGTCATCATCTGGAAAACTGTAAGGGCTTGAATTGAAAGACCTCAGATGAGGTCTGTACCTACTGTATCTATATAGAAAAGAAAAACATTTTCATCAGTCTTACGTAGACCTTAATTTAATAATGTTTTTTTTCTATACTAGGGTTTCCAAAGAGCAAGCATGCAATTCTTGTAGCGCCGGTTAGATACTACTCAGTAGAATACATTACTATGCTTTTGTTGGTGACCATAAGTACTGTAGCATGGCAATTTCATTTAAAAATGATTAATTATTCATATTTTTATGTATTTTTTTCCAGAATCTACAAAATATATAGTCCTAGCCTTGAGTCTAGGGTAGGCTCTATCTTTGCCTCTAATTATTTATTTAGATGGCCTCTCATACCAAACCTACTACTACCCACCCAGGCTATGTAGTAATTGGTGGTGGAATAGCAGGAGTGACTTGTGTGGAGCATTTGTCGTTATACTCTCCTGATCTTCCAATAACGCTAATCACAGCATCGCCCATTGTTAAGGCTGTCACTAATTTCAGACAGGTAAAGTCTTCATTTTTTTACCTCAAGCTATTGCTATTATTAGTTCACAGACTAATCTTCCTGTCATCAAACCAGGCCAAATAATGTTTTTAAAAAGTAAATTTTTTTCAAATTGGTTTTTTTTTTAAATTTGTACTGGTTCATTTCATAGTAATTTATTGGACAACATCCCAGGAGTATAATGCAATGTGTGTTCTTAACCCCATGATTAATGTACAGTACCTTCTATACAAAGCTTTCACAGAAAAATGCTTTATAAATCCTGTAATAATAAATGTTTTCTATTTCTAATCTTGTGTCTGCAAGAACATAATTTACTAAATTACATAATATAATAAAATAACTGATTTTTTAGTTCAAACATTAGCACAAATATTCCAATCAGGTTAATTTTTTGTATTTCTTATGTTGTCTTATTTTTCCTGCCATCCTCTACTTTACAGATTTCAAAAGTTATAGAAAACTTTTCAGTAGAAGAAAAACATGCTAGTAAGCTGCAGTCGTCAGTGCGAGGACTATCAGTTATACATGCCGTGGTGAATGGTATCAATGCAGAGCAACAGATTATCACAACAGATGATGGACAAGCCATTCCATACAAGAAGCTCTGTATATGTACTGGTGGACAACCAGACATCATATGCAAAGACAATCCTTATGTTCTGGGTATTAGAGACACTGAGACTGTTAAGTCCTTCCAGAAAAAGCTAGCTTCTGCTAACCGTGTTGCTGTTGTAGGTAATGGTGGGATAGCCTCGGAGCTTGTGTACGAGATTGAAGGCTGTACAGTGATATGGGCAATTCGTGATAAGAGTATCAGTCATACGTTTGTTGATGCCGGTGCTGCAGAATTTTTTCTTCCACATTTAAGAAATGAAAAGGAACCTCGAACTGCTCCGCTTAAAAGAATGAAATATACAGGTTTGTTCGAGGTTGTTCAACATATACTTTATAGAGACATTTGGTGTACAGTTTCAGAGTTAGGAATATCAATAAAAATAATTTGTGAATATTTTAATATTGCATAAAATATGTTCACTAATTTACCATTGTACAATTTTAAAACCAACTAACAAATTGTGACAAATACCTCCAATATTAAATTAATTGCAAATACAAAAATATAATAAAAGTAATAATAATAATGTGTAATGAAAAACTGAGCTACAAACATTACAATATTCCCCCCAAAAATATGGATTAGATATAATTCGGAGCTTGGAATCCTCCTCCAATACTCAATAAAAAAATCCCATTTCTAAAACTTTTTAATTTGATTTTTCAATTATTAATAAAAGCATTTATCATTCAAATAGTGTCAGAATCTAGTGACATCGAATCAAACAAAGGATCAGCGACAGGGGGCGCTTTAGGCCCTGATTGGATCAGTGGTTTGTCAATGCAAGGAGGGGGAAACGGTGCTAGTCATCCTGTGTATGTGGAATATGAATGTGAGGTATGATACTGTTCTATTTTTATGTAATTTATCTAGGCACATGTACCAAGGATTGTCAATAAGAATAATAATTAATTACTACAGTATTAATTTTATAAGTGGCAATTTCTCACACACGAAGAACCATATGTTATGATGGTGTAAATTACAAAATGTGTCTCATTGAGTGGAGTTGTTGTGGTCATGAGAAAAACCTCGGTCACTAACAGGAACTGAACTGAATACCCTGAAATTGGAAGACTAGCATGCTTAAGTGGCTTGGCGCAGTGTGAATGGTTTGTTTATCAAACTTTGAGGTCAGAGGGTTTCAATCCCTCACTGGACATTTTGCTTGTGTCCTTGGGCAAGGCACTTTATGTGCCTGGCTTCTCTCCACCCAGGAGTATAAAATGACACCTTTTGGGGTTGCCTGCTTCTGTGCTGTCAACCAGCAGCAACACTTTAAAGCATGTGGATCTAATGATCTTGGGAAAAAAGCCCTTTTGCATCTGCAAAGAAAAGGTGCTATATAAATTATATAAATAATAATAATAATTAACCACCAAGCTACAACCCCACTTATGCTTATTTTTTTACATTTGTTTGATAATCTACAAGAGTTTTTAATGAAAGAGAATTTTGGTCTGTTTCAGGTTCAGAAGATACTAACACCAGAAGAATATTCACAGTTTGGACAACCTGCAAATATTTTAGCATGTGACACAACTAGTCAGTCCTGGCCTGTTTACTTGTTACTAACTAATGGAAAGCTGTATGGTTGTGATCTTGTTATAAGTGCTACTGGTGTTTCTCCAAACACAGCACCATTCACTAACAGCCCCACACCACTCGCTCTTGCTTCAGATGGTGGTATTGATGTTGATAATCACATGAGGACTAATCTAGATCATGTCTACGCTGCTGGAGATGTGTGTACGGCAGCGTGGGACCCGGCACCTCAGTGGTTTCAAATGAGGCTGTGGTCCCAAGCGCTGCAAATGGGAGCTTATGCGGCCAAGTGCATGATGGCTGATGCTGCCGGGGAGGTGATCCATCAGGACTTCTGCTTTGAGATGTTTGCGCACATGACAGAGTTTTTTGGTTTCAAAGTTGTACTTTTAGGAAATTTTAACGGACAAGGACTAGAGAAGGACTATGAAGTTCTGCTTCGTGTGACTCTTGGTGTAGAGTACATCAAAGTTATACTCAAGGATGGAAAAATGTGTGGCGCTATCCTAATTGGAGACACTGATTTAGAGGAAACGTTTGAGAACTTGATATTAAATCGGATGGACTTGTCTATGTACGGTGAAGATCTACTGAATCCTGGAGTTGATATCGAAGACTATTTTGATTGATCGTGTAGGGCAAATGTATCTACTTGTTCTTGTACCTCTAAGACTGCAAGAAAATTTCTTGAGATGACGTCTGAAGTATGAGGACACCTTGGTAGAATTTATAGGCCACAGCCCTGCTTCCCTAATTCGTTTTTGCTACTGTATGCTTACTTAAACCTAGCGTGCATATATCTACAGTATTATTATTTTGTTAGTCTAAAGTATAGAGGAGTAAACATTATTTAGACTGCCATATTTTTTAATTGTTGATTATGTTACATATGTGTTAAGCCCTGTCCAGACTATCAAATTTTATTTGATAAAAACATGTGACATGCCCAAATATGGTCATCATGACATCACATCATGACCATATATAGGCATATCATGACTATTTATGGGCATACAAGAGTGGTGTGGACAGCTTTATGATGTGTGTTTTGCTTATATTTGTAATTTGTTCATATTGTATGCAAAGAAAAGAGTACTGTATATATATATATCTCTTTTTTCATCATTGTTTTTAATGGCATTTATATTTATGACATAATAAAATATGCCATACAGGTATATTTGTTAACTATGTATTTATATACTAATACAGTATAAGTATAAGCAGGTATTTCAAGTTTAACAATTAAAGTCAGACTCCAGAGGAAAAAAAATTTTTGATATGTTGTAGATCTGATTTTTCTAAGACAGAAAAAAGTTTGATGAAGAACTGGGGAACGGTGAATGAGATACAGATATTTGAATATTTAAAAACTGGGGGAAAAAGGCGTAAAATTGGGTGGTTACGCCCCACACATATAATAACATGTAATTTCTAGCTTGGTCTTGTCAAAGATATATACGATGTAGTAAGTGCTACAGATAACACACAAAATACACCCGATAGACACAATTTCATTAAATATTTTGGTCAGCATTCAATCAGTATTATTGTTTTATTTGCTGAATTGTTTGACACCTCTGTATTTTTTGGGGGCTGTGGTACTTAAGACTCATTGTAGGATTTTGTCCCTCAAGATTCTGTATCAAATGAACAAGTGGCCTTATTTTATTAAGAACTTTCATCATCTCAACATTATTATCAATTTTTACAAATAATTAAATAACTAATTAAAAAAATTGACAATGTGTGCTTATGATGCAATGGTTTTTAAATATTCTGCTTTAATGATTATCAATTTAAGAGTACAGTACAGTACTGTAATTTAATTGAGTGTATCACCATTATGTTTCTTTACGCTCAAAATTACTACCATTATTACGAACTTTTATGCAATACATTGTGGGAAAAAAAATGCAAATGTGTCTGATGGAAAAATTCAAGGAGCATCTCAATGACAACAGTATGTTTTTTTCCCTAAAATATATTATCTTTAATTTATGTACTGTTATGTGTGTAGTTGTGTTTGTGTGGTTGTGTATGGACAGGAGTGTTTTGCGTTAGTGCTTGTACTGAACTCGTACAATAAGTGTTGCATTGTAATGAATATGTGAAGTAGTGATTGCATTAAAGAAGTTAGATTTCGTTTTAATCAAAAAGTGTTTTGCGTTTTTCTGTCTGAAACACAAATCACGATTAGTCAAAAGACATTTCCAGTGGGGTCCAGTGTGGTTGTCTGGGGATGGGCAGGCAACAAATGTTTTCTGACGAGTGTACACTATTGTGTAAACGTGCACATGATCCATATTGCATAGGGACCAACGGCTTAAATGCCTCTTCCAAACGATTTTCAGCTACTGTAAGTTGCTACTAAAGTAGGCTCCTTATGGCTTAGCTCTCAACACTGTGGCTACAACCAGTTTAATCAACTACTGTATACTGTGCTACATAAATTCAAGACAATTTCACTGGGATGTCATGTCATCAATGACCCAGGCCTACTTGACTAATAAAAGCAACAATGTAGGCCTATTGACTTGTTTTCAAGAATGTAGAATTAAAATACCATATTATGCCCGCTCCAGCACCTCATTTGGAATAAAATTATTCTCAACACATTCTATTAATGTTCTACTCCAGTAGGATAGTATAAAACAAACTCCGAAAAAAGTGATACAAGCCATTATTGATTCTATATTTCGAACTTTATTAGTTCATCTCCAGTAGAATTACAATTTTTCTAACCTGGTTGGGATCAATAAATCTTTATAATTACATTATTGACGGTAATTATTATTAGTTATTAGTTATTAGTAGTAAGGGGCGTATATTTGAGTATATATCAATTTTACACAAAAGGAAAAATAAAAAACGCCTCCCTCGAAAAAAAAAAAAAAAAAAAAAAACCCCTAGGCATTTATTCTACAGTAATAAATTCGAACAATAGAATTAATTGTTTTGTTTGCTTCAATATTTTCATAGGTATAATGCATGGACAATTTGAACAGTCTCATCAATTAACAGACACATATAATGTTCCAATATTCTTTGTATACTGTAAATACAAATCATCGAAAAAAGAATTGTTCCCGCCAGTGTTATTTTTTCGTTTAGGCTGATAATTTATGTTATCCTTTTGAATTAATTACTGTATTCAATATTTGAGTTTAGGTTTTTCCAAGTTTATTCCATATGATTGAAAAAACTTCATAGGCTTTCAATAGGTTATTTAATTTGAATTTCCTTGTAAATAAAACCAAAACTGCTAACTTTTTTTAAACCTAATATTATGTGATAAACCTAATTAATGTGATTTTTTTAAAAGGCTAAATAAGTTTTTTACAGCATTATTCATCATAATTCTTTCAAATATTTACTAGGGCCATTTAATTGAACTAGACCGACTATTACTAATATTTATTCTCAGATGCTGAAACAGACAAATCCAATTGGGAGTTCTCGAAAGGGTGACATTGCTGGGATCTTTACAGGGTCTGAATCCGAATCTGAATAGATACTGACAAAGAACACTATGGGGGTATATGCGTCAGTGCCCCTTCCGCACATACCATGTACTGTCAAGTTGTGACAAGATTTAATTTAAAGCAAGGCTCCGGAGAAAACATTTTTTTTTTTAATATGTTGCAGAATTGATTTTTCCAAGACACAAAAGGTATATTTGATGAAAAACTCAAAAAGAGGTTTAATGAGATACAGATATTTGAATATTTAAAAACTGGGGAAAAAGGTGTAAAATTAGGTGGTTACGCCCCTTTTCCCCCAGTTTTTAAATATTCAAAAATCTGTATCTCTCACCGTTCCCCAGTTTTTCGTCAAACAACTTTTTCTGTCTTAGTAAAATCAGTTCTACAACATATCAAAAATTTTTTTTCCTCTGGAGCCTGACTTTAACTCATATTGCATATGTAATGTCTAGCTTGGTCTTGTCAAAGATATATACAATGTAGTAAGTTCTACAGATAACACACAAAATATACCCGATAGACACAATTTCATTAAATATTTTGGTCAGCATTCAATCAGTATTATTGTTTTGTTTGCTGAATTGTTGACACCTCTGTATTTTTGGGGGGTTGTAGTACTTAAGGCTCATTGTAGGATTTTGTCCCTCAAGATTCTGTATCAAATGAACAAGTGGCCTTATTTTATTAAGAACTTTCATCATCTCAACATTATTATCAATTTTTACAAATAATTAAATAACTAAATTAAAAAATTTGACAATGTGTGCTTATGATGCAATGGTTTTTAAATATTCTGCTTTAATAATTATCAATTTAAGAATACAGTACAGTACTGTAATTTAATTGAGTGTATCACCATATGTTTCTTTATGCTCAAAATTACTACCATTATTACGAACTTTTATGCAATACATTGTGGGGAAAAAATGCAAATGTGTCTGATGGAAAAATTCAAGGAGTATCTCAGTTGAGCATCTGAACAAAGATCGGAGCATCTCAATGACAACAGTATGTTTTTTCCCTAAAATATATTATCTTTAATTTATGTACTGTATGTGTGTAGTTGTGTTTGTGTGGGTGTGTATGGACAGGAGTGTTTTGCGTTAGTGCTTGTACTGAACTCATACAATAAATGTTGCATTGTAATGAATATGTGAAATAGTGATTGCATTAAAGAAGTTAGATTTCGTTTTATTCAAAAAGTGTTTTGCGTTTTTCTGTCTGATACACAAATCACGATAGTCAAAAGACATTTCCAGTGGGGTCCAGTGTGGTTGTCTAGGGATGGGCAGGCAACAAATGTTTTCTGACGAGTGTACACTATCAGGCAACAAATGTTTTCTGACGAGTGTACACTATTGTGTAAACGTGCACATGAGCCATATTGCATAGGGACCAACGGCTTAAATGCCTCTTCCAAACGATTTTCAGCTACTGTAAGTTGCTACTAAAGTAGGCTCCTTATGGCTTAGCTCACGACACTGTGGCTACAACCAGTTTAATCAACTACTGTATGCTGTGCTACATTTGACATAAATTCAAGACAATTTCACTGGGACGTCATGTCATCAATGTCCCAGGCCTACTTGACAAATAAAAGCAACAATGTAGGCCTATTGACTTGTTTTCAAGAATGTAGAATTGAAATACCATATTATGCCTGCTCCAGCGCCTCATTTGGAATAAAATTATTCTCAGCACATTCTATTAATGTTCTACTTAATAAATCTTTTATAATCGCGCACAACACATTATTGACGGTATGTGTTGTAGTAAGGGGCGTATATTTTAGTATATATCCATTTTACACAAAAAGAAAAATAAAAAACGCCTCCCTCGAAAAAACCCTTCTCTCGATAAAAAAAAAAAAAAAAACCCCTAGGCATTTATTCTACAGTAATAAATTCGAACAATAGAATTAATTGTTTTGTTTGCTTCAATATTTTCATAGGTATAATGCATGGACAATTTGAACAGTCTCATCAATTAACAGACACATATAATGTTCCAATATTTGTATACTGTAAATACAAATCATCGAAAAAAGAATTGTTCCCGCCAGTGTTATTTTTTCGTTTAGGCTGATAATTTATGTTATCCTTTTGAATTAATTACTGTATTCAATATTTGAGTTTAGGTTTTTCCAAGTTTATTCCATATGATTGAAAAGACTTCATAGGCTTTCAATAGGTTATTTAATTTGAATTACCTTGTAAATAAAACCAAAACTGCTAACTTTTTTTAAACCTAATATTATGTGATAAACCTAATTAATGTGATTTTTTAAAAGGCTAAATAAGTTTTTTACAGCATTATTCATCATAATTCTTTCAAATATTTACTAGGGCCATTTAATTGAACTAGACCGACTATTACTAATATTTATTTTATTATTTTATTTGTTTTCTCGGATTACACCACTTCCATTCCCAACATCGTTTTTTATTTCGCTTTCTTTCCAATTTACCTGGTTTATTATCTATTTTCCGAAGGTTATTGTCAGACTTTTATTCCGTTGAGGGCGTACTCCAAATTCATAGTGCGCGAAATATTTTTATTTTTAAACAACAATGAATGTTTATGGGGAAATTAGAGAACATATCCAGTCACTTCAGTTAGTTGTTTGGTAAGGTTTGTCTGTATTGATGTATATGTTTTTCGTGAAAATTATTATGCAGTTTAGCTTGACTTATCTGACATGAACTGGACGGGGATGCTTGAAAAAGCTAGGCCTGGCTGGGCTACTCGACAGTCAACTCATCATGTCATAGTTAGGCAGCTAGGCATGGATTCCTCCCTGGTGCATAATGTCATGAAGAGAGGTAGTAAGTAGAGAGGGCCTAACCTAGTTTGGCCTGTCCATCATTTATCTGTATCTGTATCTGACTGAGCAGAGCAGGTGTAATAACTTATAATTCATAAGTAGTAATACAGAGAGTACTGACTCAGGGAATTAATCTCTCTAGGCTAGGCCTACTGTTTAATAGTGCACTGCTATTTAGGACTAGGCAAGCTAGGTCTACAATAAATAATTGTTTATATACGTACCTGTAGGCCTATTATAACAGTATAAAATTAACACAGTGGAGCTGGCTTGTCGCTAAACTTAAAGTTGCAGTCTCACGATCTTCGGTTGCACTACAGCTTTACTGTACATTATCATGTTTGAACAATGTCCATTTCCTAAAATTAAGTACAGTACTCTGGTTCTAGATTTAGTAGTCCTACTAGTGAAACCGTTTATGCCATAAAGTAAATTTTTTTAATTGCGCTTAGGATACCTAAAAAATTGACTCAAATTTGCGTGGAAAATTGCTAGGGAAATAGGTGCGTGGAATCATAATTGCTACATAATTGCATTGGTTATATTAAGACTTGGTCAAAGCCTAATTTTCAGCAAAATCTGCTTGGAAATCAGACCTTATTTTCCAAAATGCGTGGACAGATTTCTAGGCCAAATTTTTGCGCGGAGGATACATTCCCCACGTAGGCCTTACTATATACAATCTGGAATTTATGTTCCATCGTTCTGTTTTTATCCATTTTTATGTAGGCTCCTTGATTTTTTTTTTGGAGACTCCTCAATGCTAAGGCTGTGCCTTGTGAGGAGCCTCCATGTGAAATATTGAATAAAAGAAATGGTTTTGATATTTAAAGATATAAAATATTTTTAAATATATATAAATATATATAAATATATATAAATATTTTTAAAGATATAAAATATTTTGATATTTATTTGTAGCTTGCCATTGGAAGAGACGCTGGTTGATGTTAAAATATCAGATGATGAAATTGAAGTGGATAATAGGAGACAAAAGATGACGTTCATTCTACCAAACATTCAACTCATTCCAAATTCTTGCCATAATCTCTCGTGGGTCAAAAGTGAAGGTGCACATATGATATTCAGGGTAAGATTTTTTCAATAAATAATTTCAGTGTTAATCCAGAATTATTTGAAAATGAGTGGGTGGTGTTAATGCAGATTCAAATAAATTTTAGCAAGGAAGTTGTAAGTTTTGCAGTAGAATGAATCAAAACTTACCCCCTGTGGCTCCACCACTGTCTTATTATTAATGTGATCTCTTTCATTGTAATATTTTCATAAAAATAGAATAATGTATCATGTTATTACAGACTTCTGCACCCAGGGCTGGAAAAAGTGTGTGACCGGTGGTTGGAGGCATTGAACATTACCCTGGAGGCATTTTAGAAAAAAAAAAATTTTTTTTTTGTTACACATCACAATTTAATGCATACCGGTAATTAAATTTGATATTTATGCTTGCTCCAAACCATGTACTACTGTTTAACTATTGTAAAGATAACATTTGGTGCTAGAGGTACTGTATTTGATCAAAATAATTTTCATGGTTGAAGGCACAAAAATATTTTTTCCAGGCATGTCTATGTCACCTTTGATATCTAGTGATTACCTGTAATTACTTTCAACATTTAGGTGAAAGACCACACCGTATCTGAAGGAGAAAATGCTACTGGTTCTCTTGAGGATGCTTTGATGGACTCTAACTGCCAGATCGTTTGTGCAACATGTCGGAAATCCATCCTAACCTCTCAGTGGTAAGGTTCAAACCTGAGGTGCTTATGTGTGGTATTTAATCCCACACATTAAAAATAGTATTAATAGAAAGTATAAAAGTATCAATAGCCTCTGATGGTACTTTCTTCTTCCTGCTCCACTACATAGAGAGTAATTTTAGTCGTGCAGCTAATTCAGACCTACAGTAGACTAATTTCATTCTGTATCCTACAAGGCACCCATTTATTTTCCTTGATGGAGACAAATGTAGTTAAAATGCTTTTCCCAAAGACACTAAGTGAAAACAGTTTTGAAGTTGGACCCTGTTATCAAATATGTTTTGCTGGTTTTTTGGTATAACTATATCCATTTTGGTAGATATTCTCTAATTGGAATATGTAACATAACCAGGCCCGTGATTTATCAATCTCAGCTTAGCAAGTCAAAAAAGTTTCGATGTCCCAAAGCAAATACCTTAAGCTGATTTATCAAACCATCTTAGCAAAATCTTAGCTTAAAAATCGTCTAAGATGGCGCATGCTTACAATTGACTTTTTAATTTTAAGCAATTTTTAAGCTAACCAATATTGATAAATTTGACTTAAGCAAAAAAAAATGAACCTACAGGTAAGACGAATTTAAGCTGATTTCTAGTCCGGCCCCAGATTATATTTCTTTGTTTTTATGTATGAAAACCAATAAAGTGTCTTGTATTCTACTGTATATCTTGTATCTTTATTGTACTTTTTTATTCTTTGAACAACTTATTATTTCATGTCATGAAACTAAAAAAAATATCTTTTATATGTTAGTAAATTTGACAGGGTATGTCAACTGCCTTCTGATCATTGGCAGGAGATGGTTGAAGACTGGCAGTGTCATGCCAGCCAGGATGTTGCCCAGATTGCTTGTAAAACCCTGGAACCATCCAGTAACGACTGCTTCATGGACAGCACAAGTCTTATAGTATCTCCAAAAGTCATCAACAAGGATGCTTTCAGGTCAACTGATGGAATATTGACACTTAAAAACAAACACAAAATGGTAAGCGATTGATTGGTATGAATCAATATGTTTGGAGAACTGCTAATGCATTGGACTTTTGTAAAGTATGTTTGGTGACTGGGTGTTTTCTTATTCTCCATCATCTTGTTGTAATTTGTTGACCTTTTTAATTTTAGGATGGGTCAAGAGATAAATATTTGACTTGTAGAAGATGTTGCTCTCTCATTGGCAGAGTATCTTGTAAAGGTAAGTCTTATGTTCAGATAATTAAATTATTGCAGGGATGAAGTAAAAGTTTGGTATCTGAAATAATTTATGATGATGCTTACCGATAGAAATGAAGGTTTGTTAATGTTGGTAGTGATGATAATAGTAGTAGTGATGAGGATGATATAAAGGTACTATGTTTGTGATGACTGGTGATGAGGATGGTATAATTATACTATAGGTACCGATACAGAAAACTGTATTTTATGAAAATATATGCTTATGGTAATAGCAATTATGAAGGTTATTTAAATAATGTTAATGATTTTGATTGTTATGATGATGATTTGGATATGTTGGTAATAATGATGGTAGTAATAAAGAAGGTTTAGATGATATGATAATAATGTAATTTGGCGGTGGTGATGTTGGAAGTCATTGCTTAATGTTACGGTGATGATATTGATTGTGATGATTTGTAATGATGTTAATTATTATATTGATGATAATGATGAGAATGGTAATAAGGTAAATATATTTGAATCATGAGATATGGCAGTACACAGCATAATTCTACCAAAGCAAGTTTGTCTTCAGGTGCTTTTATTATTGGCAACCAACACATCTACCATGCCAAGGTCCCTGCAAACACAAAATAGCTTTAAGGTATTCACAAGTTTTTCTTATTTTTCAAACCTCTCCCCCATCCTAATGACTTTAGTATATGTGTAATACAGTTGTACATATTCTAGATAATGCACTTAAAGGAATTGGGTTTTAATTTTTTAATTCTTGAATGACCTAAATTAAATGGGAAAAAAATATATTAAAAAAATTGATTGTCATAGCAAAATGTTGGCATCTTCCCTCATGAGGTGTGTTTGCATTGGATTGATTGTAGTCAAACTAACCATGCACCAGTATCTAGTAAATCGTCGCTCACATCACGAACTAACACAATCAAAGTAGATTGTGTTAGTTCGTGAAATCAAGAAAGCGTGTCAAAGTACGCGCTGTTGTTGTTAAGGACTTTTTGTGTGGTAAAGAATACAAAATTGCTTGACAACCAATACGCGCTCGTTTTGACGCGCTACTGTGATTTCACGAACTAACACATTCTACTTTGATTGTGTTAGTTCGTGATGTGAACGACGAAATGTGACCAAAAAAAAAAAGAAACCAGTGTGAACAACCTGCTTAAAATTCTCCTTGGTGGAATTACCCAAGATGCACAGCAAGTTTAACCAAGTGATTGTTAACCAGGAATAATAGAGCTGGAGCAATATTGGAATCACAGCTTGTTGCACTGGAGTTACAGCTAGAATCAAAACCATAGCAAATGGTTTTTTCTAGCTCAGATGATGAGGAGCTCTAGAAACACTCAGCTGATTGTTAATAGATTGTTTTTAGATCTACTGCCTCTATTATACTGCCCTCATGAGGCTGATTGATTAACAGTTGATTGATTAATAGATCTTTTTAAGCTCTACTGCCTCTATTATACTGCCCTCATGATGCTGATTGATTAATAGTTGATTGATTAATAGATCTTTATTACCTCTACTGCCTCTATTTTACTGCCCTCATTGGAGCTTTCAAATTACGAGAACTTGTTTTAAAGTAAAACACATTACCTGTATAGGAAGACTATAGAATGAATGTTACATCAAATAATGATAATGAGGCCATGATTTATTGGGTCGTCTTCTTGACACTCTTTTTGAAAAGCTGTTTTGTTAATAATGATAATAAGAACATCTTGGATCTTGTTCTTAGTTTAAAGCAGGTCATATATTCCATCTTGTAAGTGACAAGTTGCTTTAATGTTTATTGAGGATGAAATAAAACATGTAATTTTACAGCCAAGTGGCTCATGTGTGAGACACAAAATATTTACAAATGAACATGACCTATATAAAGCATACTCAAAACTTTTTTTAAAAAAATCAATTTTTTTTTTTGCACATTTCAACATTGATAATATGCCCAATTTTAGCTTTGTATCACCATATGGGAGGAAGAATGGGTGCCATCAAGCAACACCCCCTCCCCCACTACACCCTCACCCCCTGAAAAAAAAAAACTCTTAACATTTAAAAGTACCCGCATATCATTCTCCTAGTTAACGCTTGAACCACACCCCTCCCCCACCCGAGGTCAACACGCTTAGATGCACCACTGATGGAGACCTTTATTTTATAATTTGTAATTATTGTTTCAAATATTTAAAAAAATAAAATGTTATAAGTTCATCAAAGAAGAAATATTGACAAGATTGTTAATTGTGTCCATTTGTTGTAATTGTAAAGTTTAACATGAAGCATTCCATCTTACAATTTTCTAGGTCGGTTTCTTGCGTCTTAAATAGACACTTTCAACCTGCAGTGTTTTACCAGGACAGAATTTCTTTGTGAAGTTTGATGACATTTTCTACAATAAAATGTAAGGGAAGTGCATGCTGAGGCCTCTCATAGTGGCACAAACACCAGGGTGCAATGGCTATTATACTGTTATAAAAAAGCAGTTGTTCTCTATCATTTCTACAGGGAACTGCAAGCAGCATTTATTATTAAATGACACTAACACAGCCTAGTTATTCTTTTGAACAGATATCAAAATATTAGACACTATCTTCATTTTTTATTTGCAAAAAATATAACATCTAAGCAATTCGATAATATAATATTTATTTTCGTACCATTTATGGGAATTTATATATTTCCATGCTAAAAATAAATGTTTAAAGTTTCTCTGTAATAAAGAAAATGTTATAATGTGAAAGTTTGAGAATAAGAATGCCTCATTTTTGTATATTTTTGTAAACCTCATATTTTTGGTTTTGGTAATCTGATGTAGTTCACACATTATTTATCACACCTGTTGGCATTCTATTACTCAGGGAACCATTTTTTTTCTAGTGTAATACGACGACTAATGAATGTTTGTATTGTTTTTAAATTTATCAAACCATTAGATTTTATAATAATTACTTTCTCGGAAAAAGAGATTGAAATTTTAACCCAATAATTAATCACAACCACCATGATGTAATTCGGTAATCTGAAGTCAAACAAATTCAAAACAAAGATTTTTTTTTGTTTTAAATGAAACATGATGAGAAAATGAAATTCCCCAATTCACACCTCGGTCACAATTACGGTTCATATGCAAATTTGCTAAAATATGCAATTTAGGGGGGAAAATATACTGTAAGTAGCGTCTTATCTCTGGTCGCAGAGAGTTGCATGTTTCTATTTAAAAAACGTGATTCTGCTACTAGTTTCCAAGATAAAGGGCCATAATACGGTCGATTAATTTGCATATTTAGCTAATTTGCATATGATACTAGCATGCGACCAAGGTGTGATTTGTAGAATTACATCCCTCGTCAATAAAACCCATTTTCGCAATAAGCCCAAATTTGCAATTTGTTTGACTTTTGGCTATTTTTTAGCTCGATTGATTAGCCTCAATGAGTGAACATTTTCGTTGCGCAATCGTTGGCTGAATTCGTAATAGAATTTAATGTTCCTGGTTCAGACTGGATCACAAGTTCTTCACTGACTCAAAGCTTCGTTAGGAGTTTTATTTGATATTAGAACGAATTTATTCCCTTACTTCCAGTCAAATTTAAACCAGCTGGGCTATCCACCTGGGTTATCCACCTGCCTGTCCACCTATCAATCCTTGTTTGATACAAATAATAGTAAATTAAAAAAAAAATCCACTTGATGGCCGTTAATATATGCGTGGCTAGTGCGTCAGAAACGAGTGAGCCACTTTAACGGCATAACAGTGATTGATACTAGGTCTTGAACTTTTTCTACATTGATCGATCATAAACAAAGTGAAGATGTCGAAAATGCCAAGCCACCGATCATCACTTGTCTCATGGGTTCCTTGGTTTCTATAGCAATATGATTTTTTATAGTTCAGTGTCGTCATCTTTCTTGCCGCTCAAGAGAGTGCAATTACCAGTTCTATTTTTACTGTCTGTTCGTATTGATATCAATTCATGTTTAATTGTAGGCCTATCTTAAAATTACTGATACCATTATTTTCAATTAGGCGGTTTTGTTCACAAGTATTAACAAACAAAAAAACACCATAATCAATTTTCAAATTGGTATTCAGAAATCGTGCAGTAAATAAAGCATATGATAATTTAAAGTTGATCGGCGGAGCATTTTTTTCGAGTTAAGTTCGGGTTGTCCATATGATTAACGTCATTATAGATAACATAGATGAGCCAACTATGACGTGCACAGAATGTTTCTTTAAATGTAGGTCTACCAGTTGCTCTTTTATATCTTCACTTCTTTGAGTTAACGCCATTGCCATGAAATATAGGTCGTTGCACATTTGTTCGTTTTTTTCTACTCCTGCAGTCAAAAGATGCACAGGAAAAGAACAGTGTAGGTAGTCTAAACATGTCCCTACTAAATGTTAATCAGCGTTTCTGGAGTGTCAATCAAACTTAACTAACCAATCAGAACAGGGCCATGAATACGCGCGTGTCTCACAAACACACATGCTCCCACAAACGCACGTGTTTGCGTATGTTTTTACACTGTCGTTTTTTGGGACCTTAGCAAGAATATCCATGGGGCGGGCCGGGGCTTAGCGGAATTGCTCCATATGATTTACGGGTGTTTATAACACTGCAGTGATAAAATGGCGATGTTGATGCTGGTAATACAGTAATAATTTTCATCAATTACCGGTATAGATTACCATAACGATTAAATATATTATTAAAGGCGGCCATAGATAAGAGTAAATTAAAATATATAAAAAAATTAAAATGCCTATAATTCACAAGATTGAAGAATGTATTTTATCAATAGCAAAGGACTGCTCAGATTGTCAAACGAAATGACAGTAGTAAAGCATAACAATTAAAATTTTACGACACGATCTTATATTACAAGAGTGATTAATATTTAAATCAGCAATATCGTGATCAAAATGGATAGTGGATCCGAATGTGTTCACTAATTTTCATACACTCTATAATTTATTAACAGTATACCGGTATTATGATGGTTGAAATAGACCTACTATGTACTAATTTTATCTTTTAAGTACCAAAATAGCTGTTATTTTCACACGAACCACCTGTGATCAGTTCTAATATGCACTTTCTAAACTAAATTTTTTACACGGGTTGTCTAGCATTGAATAGAATTCTCATGTATAGATTCTAGGCATCTGAATGGTTAAACAGCGGGCAATAGAAAGTATTATATTCCGTATTTAATAAAGAAAATAGTGTTATTCACAAGGTAAATTGAAAGTCATGGTTTTTAAAC